TATATATATATGACTGTAAACTGTAAAGACAACTGACTTGCTCTCTTTCAAATAATACGATTATGTGAGCGCGCCCAGTGTACACGTGACGTCACATGGAGTCAGTGACGTCACAGTGAAGCGTTCCACAGCCGCGAGTTCAGCGTCGAGCCGCACAGCTAATCTGATCTAGTGTGATCAGCTCAGTGAGAATCCGAGCAGAAGCAACGCTTATCACGTAAGAAAACACTCAAAGTCAATTGCTAATTTTCCAGCGCATCATTATAAGCAGCAGCGTTTCTCCTGTGCAGGAGTCAGTGGCGCTCAACACTAAGTGTTCAGTGTTAGTAGATGATACACTGACAGCCGGAGGAAACAGCACCGACCCTTCAGGAGCAAAGCCAGAGGCTTCTCCCGCAGCAGCAGCAGCAGCTATGGAGAACAGCGCAACAGGTGAACAACAAACTTCAGTTTGTGAAATGTCATTTTACTTATTTCTCACAGGTTTCACACATTAGGAAAATATATAACTATAAAAATCCTTAATTAAAATAATACTTTTGTTAATTGTTTGTTAATTTTGTAATCTGTTATTATTAACAATATAATTTGTGTATTTTATTACATTTTTAATTCCATTTTGTGAAGTATAGTTTGTTGTGGCATTTCATGTTAAATGTAAATGTTAATTAAAGGTGCTGTATGTAGGATTGACACCGAGTGGTTGAACTAGGTATGGACCTTTTTCACATTTCCGGGTTTCTCAGCAGCGGAAGTCGTCATAGTTGGGCTAACTTGAAGAGCAGTGAATGGGAGAGTACCACACATATATTTTTTGCATTCCCATTTGCTCAAATAGCAAAAGAAAAACTCCACGATAGTGTTTTCATGAATTTCAATAAAAGGAAAAAAATTGAGAGACAGTCAGAAGAGAGAACGATGTCAGATTTACCATCCCTCCCATAGACGCTGCATTAGAAACACCCTCGCATTAGCGTTAACTGTTTTTTGTGAAAAACAAACAAATATGAAAAACTTTCGAGGATTTACGATGCTGATGACCGTTAAATGCGTCATCACAGTATTGTGAAAAGGGTTCATTGCAGTCCAAATTCAAAATATTGTAGAGAGTTTTTTTCACCCGGCCCCTCCTCAGACGTGACGCACACGCAGGTTGCCAGATTGACGACATCAACAGGAACGAGCACACTATTTCTCACAGGTTTCACACATTAGGAAAATATATAACTATAAAAATCCTTAATTAAAATAATACTTTTGTTAATTGTTTGTTAATTTTGTAATCTGTTATTATTAACAATATAATTTGTGTATTTTATTACATTTTTAATTCCATTTTGTGAAGTATAGTTTGTTGTGGCATTTCATGTTAAATGTAAATGTTAATTAAAGGTGCTGTATGTAGGATTGACACCGAGTGGTTGAACTAGGTATGGACCTTTTTCACATTTCCGGGTTTCTCAGCAGCGGAAGTCGTCATAGTTGGGCTAACTTGAAGAGCAGTGAATGGGAGAGTACCACACATATATTTTTTGCATTCCCATTTGCTCAAATAGCAAAAGAAAAACTCCACGATAGTGTTTTCATGAATTTCAATAAAAGGAAAAAAATTGAGAGACAGTCAGAAGAGAGAACGATGTCAGATTTACCATCCCTCCCATAGACGCTGCATTAGAAACACCCTCGCATTAGCGTTAACTGTTTTTTGTGAAAAACAAACAAATATGAAAAACTTTCGAGGATTTACGATGCTGATGACCGTTAAATGCGTCATCACAGTATTGTGAAAAGGGTTCATTGCAGTCCAAATTCAAAATATTGTAGAGAGTTTTTTTCCACCCGGCCCCTCCTCAGACGTGACGCACACGCAGGTTGCCAGATTGACGACATCAACAGGAACGAGCACACTTGACGATGACTGAAATGAAATACGCGGTGTTTTCCACCAACTACCCGGGGTGCCGAAATACAATTGGGTAAACTGGTAGTGGGTGGGTTTCACAAACCAAAACAGAAACCGACATACCGGCCGGAACGCACATTTTCAAAGGAGAATAACTGACTGTAGCATTGTTTTTCAGATAAACAAATATGTTAACTTAGCATGTTTCTTAAATATCTGCAAACATATTATGGTATTTTTATGCTTTAGTAGAGTCAAAAACTTACATACAGCACCTTTAAGTAATAATAACTTAAACAAATACAGGTAATTTACAAAATTAAAGTTCATTGA